CAATGAATCTAAAGACTTTTTCACAACATTGATATGAACGCGACACTCCACAGTATCAAACTCTGCAACCTGAATACGGGAATCCAAAGCTGCATCAAGGAAAAACCTTGGGACTGTTGCTGCAGCCATCAGAAGAAAAAAAATCAGCCTTTTTTGTACCAAAAAATAAGATTACTGAAATGTTTAAACTACTGAAGGCTTTTTTTTTCACTACCCCACCCATCATAATAAAGATAACCATCAAAACTGTGCAGAACAATTGTCTCCAACCTGTCCCCCAGAATGTCACTATTCGTCACCGTAACATTCATTTAAATCAGTGGTTCTCAACCTGTGGGTCGGGACCCCATTTGGGGTCGAATGACCATTTCACAGGGGTCGCCAAACTATGCTGTCTGCCATTTTTTTCCCTTTTCCCTAGCTGTCCTAACCCCTCTTATTGGTGGCCACACCCACTTGGGGGTCACCACAACATGAGGAACTGTATTATGGGGTCACGGCATTAGAAAGGTTGAGAATCACTGATTTAAATGCTTATTTATTGCATTTATGTCCTGCAGCTCTCAGCATCTCACATGATATAAGGAAAATTAAAACACCCAAGTAATATTAAAATATCTGTTAAATAGTTAAATTACAAATTCACAAATCAAGCACACAACACAATTTTCCTGCAAGCAATGGGGGGGGGAGAGAAGGGAGGAGGAGGAATAACACAATAGTGAAATACAATGAAGAAAAAATGAACAGTTTGTTGGATAATCATTTAAAATTAAATAATATTTACTCTACAAATGACTCTGACAGACTAGAGGTCATTTGGAACATGAGCTTTTATTTGGGAGAGAAATATTAACAAGGAGTCAATTGAGCGTCACGTAAATGGACTCTGACTAATACAATAGGACCCTTTACAATCCTTCCCATTCAACCTTTCTGTTCTGGAGGGTTTCCTAGTGTTCTAAAAAAGAATCCGAGGATACAAGGACCTACAGGCAGAGAAGATATTTGTCTTGCCGGCTCTGTCCACCCTATCAGAAGAAGCCAAGTTAGATACCCCGATTGTCACTCTTTGCTGGTTTATATATCCCAAACAAGTCGAATTTTCTGAAGAGTGGCTGATGAGGACAGGAAATCCTGCCCAATCTGTCTCAATTGACCAGGAGGTATTGAACAAATCAGACAGTTTCTAACTATAACATTTTTCCCATGGAATCTGAACTGCAATTCTTAGCTTGTGGTTCCTATAGAAATGAAAATCTAAGCCACAGTTTGTTTGGAAGCTTAAGGGTTTGGCTTAATATAACATTCTGGATTGGGATATAATGTAAAAGGACTGTAGTGAGAGATTCCTGGGTTTATTTAGCAATTCCCTAATTGTGGAGGAAAGGCAACATGCCTTAGCATATTTACTCTATGCCAGTAAGTCAGCATTTAAAAGGCTAGCTATTATAAGGCCTTATTATCCACCATTCTTTCTTTGTCTGCCTAAGCAAGACTGTTGTTGTAGTAGGACAGAAACAGATACTATTACTTTCCTGTTCAGCACATCTGGGTACACATACATAGACTCAGAGCACAATGACTGTGGTACAATGAACCTACAGTTACAGCAGGTCTGAACAGTTTTGGGGGGACTGAAGCAATTAAGCATATCCTGGCAGAAGCCAACTTATATTCAACATATTTTTAAAAGTTTGTTTATTTATGAAACGTCCATGCTGCTTCTCTCTTGAAAGGCATTAACAGAGTACAAAGAGCAATGCTGGAATAGCCAATGTAAACAATACAAAACGACAATAAAACCTAAAAGAGTATATTGTTTTATACAAACAATTACACATCTGGCACTAGCAATTTTATACCAGTCCTGTCAAAAAAGCCTTGTATGGAACAGCCACGCTTTTACAACCTTCCAGAATGTGATGGGTGTAGGAGTTTGGAGCCCTCGTAACATTTAGTAGATGGGAACGTTCAATAATCATTTTCCATTCATTCAGATCGAGTGGCAGAATCTATTTGGAACACGCAATCTCATATCACCAGCACCTTGAACTGATCTGGAAATACCCAAGTAGCTAATGCAGCTCCCACAACAGTGGCATTTCACTGTAATAGCACGGTTGTGTCTTGAGCACACAAGTTGTTGCATTTTGCATCGCCTGAAGTTTTCAGGTGGTTTTAAAGAGCAGCCTCGGGTAAAGCAAATTGCAGTAATCCATAAGGGAGATCTTTGGAGCATAACTGTTCCACTTCTAAATAAGATCCCAACTGGCATATCAGCTGGAGCTGGCCAAAGGCCCTCCTGACCACTGAATATTTGCTTTTTGCTGTGAGTCCGGGAGGATCTTCAAATAGGAAGCTTGTTCTCCATGGGAGAACATAACCCTATAAAAACTCCAAAATGACATATTTTCAGAATCAAAGGACTTTTGAGTGAATAACCACTTGACCTTCCTTGCCTTGAGCCTAAGCTTATTTCTCTAGGTCACTGGTGGCGAACCTATGGCACGCAGAGCTCTCTCTGTGGGCACACGTGCCGTTGCCCCAGCCTTGCCTCCCCCCCGTGACATCCTCACCAGCAGCCCCCCTGGAGGAGAGTCGCCCCCGAGCATGGCCCACACGGAGCAGCGCAGCCAAGGACATGGCAGCCAGGTAGCATAGACAAGACTCAGCCCTTACGCCCCATCATGAAGTTGATGCTGAGGGGCGCAGGCAGAGGGCGTGGCTGCAATGGCACTGCTGGGCTGCCTGGGTGATCTGCAGTGGGCCCTGGAGGAGGTGAGTGGCCCTGCGGGCAGGCGGGGTAGGGGCGGGGCAGGGGGTGGAACAGGGGTGGGGCCAGTTTGGGGGCACTCGGTCTCTAAAAGGTTCGCTACCACTGCCCTAGGTATATACAAACACTACAACCTCCAGGCTACAGGCTCTATATGGCATAATAGAGTTCCCAAGGGCCAGACCTGTCCCACTGAATGATCACTGTCCAGACCTACGCTCCCATGAAGATGTAGAATCACCATCACACAGCACTTCCAACTCCCCATTCCTCATAGATTAGAAAGATTCACAAGTAAGACTGATGCAGTTTCAACCACGAGCCCAGGCCAGAAAGTTTCAAGCCAGGTATGTGGTGAAACTTGAACAGAGTCTAATTCTATTGGCTTTCAAAAGCCAATAGGAATTGTCCAGGCTGTCTCTGCCCTGCTGAGACAGCCAAAAGTCCCATTCTGCAAACGGTGCTGCACCAGTTGAGTAGTCCTCGACTTACGGCCGGTTGAGTAGTCCTCGACTTACGACCGGTTGAGTAGTCCTCGACTTACGACCAGTTGGGGGTCACGGCATTAAAAAGGTTGAGAACCACTGAGCTAGGATAACTGAGATGAATACATTAATTCTGAAAAAAAAGCTTTATGGCTCCTAGCAAAATCCTGCACAGAATAAGATATACCCAGAGATTTCCTGTCCAGACACCTATCAACAAATGACCTATTTTGTCTTTGTTTACTGTCCTGAACCAGCTGCCACTGGAATTGGCCGATTCCCATATTCAAACCACAAAAACAGGGGGGGGGGGGAAATCAAGGCATGACAAAACAAGAGTCCTTATTCCATCTTTCACAGATGCTGAAAGACAAATTTCAGCTTGCCTGAGGACTAGCATGAGCTTCCTTATAAGCCACGAGGAAAGCAGGAAGTATGTCACATTCTGCCTGCCTCAGGACTTCAATCAAAACTTAAAATACAGTTTCACAAGCAGACTAGGGCAATGAAGACAGTGGGTCCTTGTATGAGGCTGGAGAATGCAGAAATATAACCATAAGGACCCAGATAGGAATAAAAGCTGAAGGTTAAAGAATTAAATATCGACATTGACTAAATATCTAATTTAAGCTTCTAATTTTATTTTACATATGCTAACAAATCCATCACTGGTCATCTTTAATGCATGCACAACAGTTCATTTAGTGACCATAGGAAGTTACAACGGCACTGAAAAAAGGCCATTTTTCACACTTAGGACTTGCAGCATTCCCATGATCATGTGATTTAGATTTGGATGCTTGGTTCACAGTTATGATGGCTGCAGTGTCCCGGGGTCATGTGATCATCTTTTGCAATCTTCTGACAAGCAAAGTCAATGGGGAAGCCAAATTCACTTAACAACCGTGTTACTAACTTAACAACTGCATAGATTCACTTAACAAATGTGGCAAGAAAAGTTGTAAAATTACCCACATTTTTCCCTTAGCAACACAATTGGGCTCATTTGTGATTGTAAGTTGAGGACTACCTGTACTGCATTAAAGAAAATCTCTACAATAACTAACACAATGTCTGTTTTAAAATGAATGAATTCCTACGCCTACAGATGACATTTAGGCTGAAGCTTTGGAAGCTGGCTATTGTGAGATAGTAGAAAAAGGATTCTCTCTTGCTTTCACTTTATTTATGTTTAACAGCAGTTTTCACAAATGGGATTTTTATATATACTTGTTCAAGTGGAAGGAAGCTATTTGTAAGAGAACCCATCAGAAAGCCGGACCACTTTTATATATTACTTCTGGTCATTGGTCTTTTAGTTCTGCATTAAAAAAATACATGTGTCAAATGCAGGTATTGTTGTTCTGAGATGAATTGAATAAATAGGTAACAGCAAACCAAGTTCTGTTGCCACGGACCTTTTTACACTTCTGTATCAAAAACAGAAATTGACTCAGAATATTTAACGGCACCTTCCGGAGGTGCTCAGGACCTTCTATGACGTTATATGTAGAGACTCAGAATAATGACCAATACCCAAACATGACATACATTGGAGGTATTTGGAAGACCAAGAGAGAAGAGCATTTGTCCCTGCGCTATTCGGTTGCCAAGCCGGCAGTGTGCAACCTGACAAAGCGTGTTTACTAAGCTCCCTTTGTATCTAAATGAGCTTATTGCCACTGGGCCATCGTCAGAAACCATTAGGTCCCATACCCCGTGAGAAACCAGTGACTCACCGGCGTTGTAGAAGCGGTCGAGCACGGATGTCTCCCCGAAGTCGAGCTTGCCAAAGTGCAGAGTTTGCAGGTCGGCCCCAACTGCCTCGCACGCTTCCTTTAGGCTCTGCAGGGCCCCACTCTCCGCCGCCTGCAGCAGCCCTGGACTCGCCTCATTGATCACGTAGGACACCGTGGTCTGCCGGCTACCACCACCCACACCACTTTTGGCTCGATTTGCTGCGTCTGTGGCCAGACAGGAGGCACTACTATCCTCGTTCCAAAAAGTGCCGGCCGGCGGGGCACGCGGGCTGGCCAAGAAACCACGGACCATTTCCTCGCTTGCTGCAGGCGCTCTTCTACTGAGCCCGTCTTCGTACAGCAGTGGGCAACCCCCACCAATCATGCTTGGCACGGAGAAGCTAATAATCTCTCCTTCGCTGCTGTTGCTCATGCCGACGGGGCTTTGCAGCAGCGTCTCTCTCTCTCAGCCTTCGACTCTCCTCCCTACGATGGGCTTTCACACGGATGCTGCCATTGCCTCCAGACCTGTTTTCCTTGGCTGATGGGTATGTCTGCAAGATCCTGCCTATTTGGAAATTGGGCGGGAGGGAAGGGTCTCAGGCTGCAGAGCTGATGGTGGCAGCGAAGACAGCGCAACTTCCTCCGGCATTTGCCAGAACCACCATTGTGCACTCCTTTCTGGAGCTCATGAGCCTCGGTAATGTTGCAGCCTTAAAAAGATGCACAATCTCTTCTTTGCAAACTTGCCTATTCTTGACCAGTTTCAACCCGGTTCGGCGAGTCTCCCCTGAGACGCTAGGCAGAGGCCATTTCTCCCAAGAGCCACGGCTGACAAAAAGACAAGAGCAGGACATAGTTACTTCTTGCATTGCTACAACCCTCTGCAAGCCTCCAGCAGCCCGCCCAAAGAAAGCCCCGCCTTTCACCTCAGCCATGCTCCCTGCCCAATACAGGTAGTCCCTTAGGTACAAGCCTAATAGAGCCTAAACTCATTAATTGAATCAAGTGGGTCATTAAATGGACGAAGATTTGATTTCCTATTTCCTCCGATGGCTGCCAGAACTGAGAGACGTTTCTCGCCAGTAACCACAATACTGTAAACTGCCTCCCAAGCAGGCAGTAGGCTTTTTTTTAAAAAACCATTTGTTGCTAGGCAGCTCAAGCTTCTTCAGAGGGGGGGGGGAGCCAAACTCTACGATTGCAGCTGCCACTAAAGTAATTAGCTTAAGGTCTCCAGGAGTTTATACAGAAATCTCCGATTGCTTTTAAACACACACACACACACACACACACTTGCTGGCCATTAGCTTAAGCATCTTCAGCCAGGCATGCAGAGGGAGATGGGGATGGAGTTTACAGAACTGTTGGCTTTGAATAGTGACTGAGATGGAAGGGACCTTGAGGTCATCTAATCTAACCCACTGCTCTCACAAGAGAGTACAGTACTATACTGTATTTCTCATATATGCCTATCCAGTCTCTTCTTAAAAGCCTCCAGTGAGGGAACACCCACAACTTCTGGAGGCAATTTAAATTTAAAACCTTTAAAAAAAACACACACACAATACTGCCACCCTCTTCAGGCAGAATCTCTGGTGGGTCTCTGGTTGGAAAAGGAGACAGCAGTAGCCACATGCTGTAAGTTTCAGGCAAATGCAAACGAACAATCTTGCAAAATACTGTGCTTACAAACACAATAAAAAGCAGAGCATTTCCCAAAGCGATTACAAAAAATACAGCACAGTACTAAAGAATAACGAAAAAAGAATATTTTAAAATACTTACAGAAGCAATTCTAGCTCTCTACAGTACTGTAGTCCTTAAGCCCAGCAAGCAGCAGATCTTCCACGGCAGCTCCAGGAAAATGAACAGTCCTACCGGCTGCAAAAATCACCGGATCGTTTGGCCATGTGACCAGGCACCAAAAAAAAAAAAAAAAAACCCACCCACTTCCGCAGCAGCCAAGACTCAATCCAAGTCACATGGCTACAGAGGCTTGTTTTTGATCACAATTTTGAATTTCTAATGTAAGTATCCTGTATGAATAACCTCATTTTTGTGAAATCTCACCAAATAAACGCTCCTCTCTGATGGATTACCTGTAGTAGAAGGAGCTGTGCAAATCGGATTGCGAAAGTTTTGGTAAAGAGCCATTGCGGCAATGAAAGTGAAAAACCCCTTTACGCTACTATACTGTATTGTATGGCGCCCTCTGCTGTTCCACTCCTAACTTATTGCACGAATATTTCATTTTTCTCAGTGACAAGTCATTCCAGCCCTTTTATGTAAGTTCTGTTATTTATAGCTAATGTATATCTTTGCAGTTTGGCCTGGTGGTTAAAGGCAATGGACATATATTGGGAGACTGTGAGTTCTAGTTCCTGCCTTAGGCACAAAGCCAGCTGAATGACCTTGGGCCAGGTACTCGTTTCTCAGCCCCAGGAAGAAGGCGAGAGCACTTCACTTCCCAAAAATAATTTGTCTACGTGATTGCCAGGAATCAAGACTGACTGAAAGATACAGACCAGGACCCAGGCTCAGTTCCTAGGATTTTCAGGAAGGGTTGGGAAAGTTCCTCACTGGAAAAGGCAGGGAAATACCCAGTTACTGATTCTGAGCTTGATAGGCCAGAAGCTGACTTGGGAAATTCTAGGATTCGATGCAACAGTAAAAATGTAACCTGTCTACAGAAAGAAAAGGAAATAGATCCAGACAAAGAAAGAAGGGGTTTTCTTCTGGAGTTCAATCATGAAAATGCAAGAAAGAGAGGACAGTGACCAGAGAAACTGTCCTGATATTATTGCAGTTGTGAAGGCCATCTTCTGAATGGCTGTTGTATGCCTAGGTCAGTGTTTCCCAAACTTGACAATTTTAAGGCATGTGGACTTCAACTCCCAGAATTCCACAGCCAGCAATGCTGGCTGTGGAATTCTGTGAGTTGAAGTCCACATGCCTTAAAATTGTCAAGTTTGGGAAACACTGGCCTAGGTGGTGAATAACTGCTTCTTGGTGAGTAGAATCTGTGAGTGAAATACAAGGCAACCAGGTTCCACAAAATGAGATGAGAACATAACAGAACAAGGATTGCTACCAGAAATTTGTTTGGAGAGTTTTTCCTCTTTAAATCAACACTATGTATTAGTGGGTTAAAAAAAAAAAAAACTGAGCTTGTCACAACATTAAATGCACCAGTATAGAAAAGGGTGGATTTCTGGCCATTATTCTTGTGAAAAGGCTTTGAAGTAGTAGTTGATTAGCAATGGAATAAGACTCACCAGGATGATATAGTTGCAAAAAAACCCCCAATACTATTTTAGGTTGTATTAGCAATAGTATATATATTTAGTGAAACCTAATTACTATAGATAGTCTTTGACTTATGGCCGTTCGTTTAACAACCATTAAAAGTTATGACAGTGTTAAAAAAGTGATTCATGAATGATCCTCATACTTACGACCATCACAGCGTCCCCACCATCATGTAATCAAAATTCAGGCGGTTGGCAAGTGGTATGTATTCCTAATGGTTGCAATGTCACATGATCACCATTTCCAACCTTCCCAGGAGGGCTGCAATAAGCAAGTCAACAGGAGAAGTCAGGTCCACTTTAACAATCAGCGTGATTCACTTAATTACCAGTAATTCACTTAAGAACAGCAGCAAAAAAAAAAAAAAAAGGTTGTAAAATCAGGCACACTCAATTAACAACCTCATCACTTAGATCAGGGGTGGGCAACCTTGGCTCTTTTATGATTCGTGGACTTCAACTCCCAGAATTCCTGAGCCAGCATGGCTCAGCTTGGAAACCTCTCCCTTTCCCCTCAGCATGGCTGGCTCAGGAATTCTGGGAGTTGAAGTCCACGAGTCATAAAAGAGCCAAGTTGCCTATCCCTGACTTAGATCCATCTTAATTATGGTCATACGCTGAGGACTACCTGGATGTTGTTTAATCCCTATTTGAGTATTGTTGGCAGATTCAGACAAAAAAGAACCACTCAGAGAAATGTGGATAATTAGGAGACTAAGCCCTATGAAAACATGTGGGAGGAACTAGAAATGTTTAGATTTGGAATTGAAGACTGATGGAGGATATAACAGCATTATTCAAATACCTGAAAGGCTATCATTTAGAGAACAGATCTTGACCTTCTACCATTCTAGTGCAGGACACAGAATAAATAAAAAGATAATGGGGTTAAGTTACAAGAAAGCAAATTCTAGTCCAATATTAGATTTTTTTATTATTATTAAGACCAGTTCAACAGCGGAACCAATTACCTAAAGAGACAATAGGTGGTATGTGTAGGAGAGCCACAAGGTTACTTTGATTTGGATTGTGGCACTAAGCAAAAGGTTAATCTCTTCCAGTTGTATGATTCTACACAAATACTGTTCATTTATTACCATGCCTAGTAACTGGAATTCTCTGGCAGCTGTATATATAAACACATAAAATACCCAGACTGAAACTAATAACAGTACAGCATAAGACTAAGGCCAGCAATAAAGAGGGAAAATCAGTGCAAGTATGTGAGAGCAGCCAATAAAAAGAGGTTTTAAAGATGTTTATGTGGTATAAAAAGTTAAAATGACATCTGATGAATCTTTCTAAAGATTAGAGGGCATATATTCCCTCACCTCTCAAAGTGAATGGATGTTTTCTTGTAATTTTATTTGGGGGAGGGGATTTTAGATGATAAACTTTAGCTCTGTAGAAAAACATGGAGAAGAATTTGCTTCAATATACCAAATCTAAAATAATAGGCTTTAAAAGCTAAACCCAAAAACTTAAAAACATGTTTGGAAATGGACAGTGAGTTCCAACTGAAAAAATTAGGTATAATACAGTCAGCCTAAAATCAGTGGTTCTCAACCTTTCTAATGCCGTGACCCATAGTACAGTTCCCCATGTTGTGGTGACCCCCAAATGGGTGTGGCCACCAATAAGAGGGAGTAGGACAGCTAGGGAAAAGGGGAAAAAATGGTGGACAGTGTGGTTTGGCGACCCCCGTGAAATGGTCATTCGACCCCAAATGGGGTCCTGACCCACAGGTTGAGAACCGCTGGCCTAAATGATCCTTTGTTTAGACCAGCGGTGCCGTGCACCAGTCCATGGCATGCCAGAAACTGGGCCGTGGAGACAAGTGAAGCCCCCACCCATTGATTGGATGCAAGCAACACACAAAACCATGCCTCCTCTGGTTATGGAGAAACCTCTCTCCAAGGAACTGGTCCCTGGTGCCCAAAAGGTTGGGGGTTGCTGTTTTAGACTCAGAATTGAAATGTGTCATTTAAGACACTGAATCCAACGCCCAATCAGTGCAGCAGTTTACAACAAATCAGTAAACTATTTTAAAATAATTTGAGAATTATTATGGAAGCCAAAGGTCAATATTGTACAGCACCTTTGATTACATCGATTCATATGAACTTTATCAATGGCATCTCCAGATCTCCAAATTTTCATATAAGGTAGATAAAAATTAAATGGGCAAAATAAAGAATAACATCATCTCATGAGATTTCATGCAAGAATACCAACATTTTGCAAGAGCTGGTGAGAAGGGGTGTGTGTTTTCTGGTGGAGGGAGTCAACTAGTTATTTAATTATTCTATTTTAAATCTGCCTAAAAATACAGTAAATAAAGCATATTGCAATCATAATATCTAAC